TACTCATGCTTTACACTGACATATACAGAGATATATATTTGAGACCCTCATTTATTAATATTCACAAAAAGGCTACAAATTGCCCATTTTTTACAAATAAAGGAAACAGGCACAGTAATTTAACCAGGGTCACAAAAAAGAAGTGCTAAAGCTTGCACCTGAAATCACACTTATTGCCAAAATGTGTATAATCAGCTCTGCACTTTTTCCTATTCAAATGGTTTGGAAAGAGAAGGAATTTTTGCCCCCAAAGGACATTTGACGAAGTTCAGACATCTCAGAAGCATGAGGTAACAGAGCCCAGAGACACTGGGGAATACCTTATCCTGAACAAGACAAGCATTCTCAACAAAGCCTTATCCAGTTGAAATGTCAGTGTGCCAAGACTGATGAGACCATCGAGCCTACACATATAAAATATCTTATGGGCCAGGGATTTAGCTCAGTGGCACAAGCGCCTGCCAGGCAAGGCAAGGTCTTGAGTTCAATACCTGGTACCAAAACAGAAACAAAACAAAACAAAAAAACCACAAAACAAAATGCTTCTTCAGTTAAAGGACCAAATGCAGTCTCAGGCATTCCACAGAAGAATGCAGTACACTCCCAACTAAGGTCCTGTCGCAGAGGATTTGACTGAACCTTGAAAATGTGGGTCAGAAGAAGTGACAATCACTGGAGACTGTTACACGGCCTATAATCCCAGGGCTGTGGGAGAAGCGCCCTACACTGCAGCCCCGCCTGCACAACCCAGTGACTCGGTGAAGACCATTCTGTTAAGTTTGGTTCTATTATGTCCAGTTTGTTTACTTGTAGCAGATTTGGCATGGACAGCTATTCCAAAGATAGCAGGATATACTGTGGTAACCATTTTTGATTTCCTATTAGCTTGATATGAAGCCCTGCATTGCTTTATTATGCTTTGACTGATTTCATTCTATTGTTTTATTTGATAGTATCAAGTCTGATGGTAGGCAAGTACTTTGAAGACAATACGATGCATTACAATACCCCCTATGATTTTACTATTATCTTCTTTTGAAATCCTATAATGTCTCCAATGTTTTGTTTTTATTGGTTTTGTTCTGTACTGTTTTGTTCAATTTTATTATGCCTAATGATATGGGCAATTCTTTTGAAGATAACAAGAGGCATTCTGGCAATCACTGTTGATCACCTTGTATTTTGTTTTTAAGTCATGTACTATGTCCATCTTTTGTTTTGACTATTTTGTCTCATTTGGTTTTATTCTCTTCAAAAAATAAATAAATAAATAAAAATAAAAAAAGAAATTCAGCTCAGTGCAAAGGTCCTGGTCACCAGAACCACAAAAAAGCAGGCTCAAGGCAAAAGAAATAATCAAAAGTGTGAAAATAAAAAATGGCAAGGTGCATTCAGGAGTCAAAATGATTATCAAGTACTTTCTCTGAACTAAAAATGAAAACGTAACAAGTTATGAACAAAAAATCTGCAGGTACTTGTAACTGCTTGGGATATCTTCAAATATTTATAAACTCAGAAGGAAAACTGGATACCTGAAGGATACAAACTGCTGTTTATGAGGGGAAATCTGAGCTGACACCAGATAGCAGAAGACCTCGAACAGGTTGTCTGGAAGAAGTGATTTAACTTTGATTAGATACAGGTTCAGAACCACTCCAAACATATTCTATACTGTCTGGGAAAAAAAGTAGTAAATGTATTACACTCAAGATGGACTATTTGTTTCAACTTCTGCTGTTACTTTTAAGGCTTTTTCCTCATGAGTGGCAAATTACCTAACGTACTATTCAGTTTCTTCTTCTATAAAATTAGAAAACTAATAACACCTATTCTGTAGGGATGTTGTGAGGATTCAGTGAATTAAACCACGTTAAACTGTATTCCCACTGCTGGGACCAAATACCTGACACACTCACAACTTACAGAGGCGCTTATTATGGCTCAGTTTCAGAACGTTCAGTCCATGCCCCGCATCAGTAGTGGCGTCGTGGAGGGACACCGTGTATCAATGCTACATAGCTCATGGTAGCCAGGAGCAGAGTAGGAGACAATGCCAGCAATGGATCTACACTCTAAAGGCACACCCTCAGCAATCCATGTCCAAGCAAGGCCTGCCTTCTAATAGCACGCTGCACTAGGAGCATCAGTGGATGAGTCTACCAATGAGCACACATCCCAAGATCCACACAACTCCTCCAGAACCTCCAATCCAGCCAGACCCACAGTTAAGATTACCTGGCAAACAAATATTCAGATCCATACCTTGTGCAAAGTAAGCAGTATTCCTAATATTTACAGTGTGTCTCTTCATATGTTCACAATAACCTAGTAAGGAAGGTCTCAACATTATTCCCACTTTACTGACAATAATTTTGGCTTAAAGAGGTTAATCAAGAAGGACAAAGTAAACATGACTCCAAACCCAAACTCTTTATCACTCCCTATATACTGCTTTATGAAGGCCAAGAACATTACACTTTAGCAAACAGGCACTGGAACGCCAGTAAAGGTTTCTACAGAGGGAATTTCAATTACTAAAGCAATGCTTATTTAAGGAAACTGGCAATGGAAAGAACAGGCTGGAATAGGATGGGGGGCACACGGGGAGTAGAGAGAGGCTTAGGAAAGGTACTTGGAGGAGGTGGTCAGGCCTGTGTTCGATGCTGGGTGCCTGATGAATGGCTAGTGACACCAAGGGCAACCAAGTCGTGCGTCAGGTATACCTGGCTTTGAAGAGGAAGATGGTCAACGGAGAGATCTGCCTATCCTGGTCTGTTCTGAGAAATTATATAATTATTTAGGCCTATTAATAAATAAAAGACTCTGCCAGTACTACTCAAGAGTCAGAAACACTCATCCCACAGGCTCAATCAAAGGGGATACAGCTGACACTGATTCTTGACTGAAATGTGTAACAAGCTTGGAAAAAATTCCACATTTCACTTTTTCTTAAGTATAGATGGGCACAGCCCCTCAAATAAAGCAAATTTCATTAACATGGCATAGAAGAACAAAGTACAGACCACATGACAAAAATCAAAATCTCCCTGTGAAATTCTTTCTGAGCCAATGAAATATTTCAGTCTGCACAAAGAACAGGATGTGTGAGTTCAGTGAGGATAATACAGTTATACTCAGAAGTTTCATTAAATTCTCAGAATTCTTCCAATTTACCATCTCCTTCACTTGCTAAGTAAGAATGACCATTTTGTTTTCCCACTCTCAAATGTAAAATAAGTAACTGTTCACCTGTACATTCACCTTTTTACACTGCCATACTGAAGATGGAGATGTGGCCAACTGCCTGCGGCCAGCAGAGAGCTCTGAACCCAGGCTCAGATGGTTCTGGTGGCGAGTGGTGCCTGTGTGAAACACAGCAGTGTTTCTACACTGCTTTGTCCCACTATGTCATCCTTCAGTGTCACATGACTTAGGGACACTTTGGAAGATTCTATTCGAGTTTTAACAAGATGATTTTCCAAAGAGTTTTACGACCACTGAAAGCTACAAATATCTAAGTGTCACCTGGGGAACAGAATAATGTATTAATGTATTAGTTTAACCTCATCACATACTCTCTTCTACATTAAAACTGTTGTTTCATTGGAGATATTAGCATATGTTAAAATAACGAATAAAAATGCTATTACCTGGAATCTAAAAGGAACAGATATATTATTAAAGTAAACTACAAGTGTTTAATAAGCATGCATATCCTCCAAGCATGTCATGAAACACTGTCTCAGTCCAAACAAGATAAGCCAAGGCAGCCAGCCTTCCCCTACCCACTAGGCTCTGCCCTCAAGTAAGGTCAGAAAACCAGCCACTAAACTGCAGCACAGGAGGAGGAGGTAACTGAGAAACACAGGCAAGCTAAAAACAGTTACCTACTCACAATTGCAGAAGTATGATCTAGGATACTTTCACTATGCAAATTTAAGCTTTGAAATTTTTGTAAGATAAGTTAGGAAGGCTCATTTTTAGGCATCTATCTCTTTATGACAAATCTTTATAGGTGAACCACTGTGATTCTTCTATTTAATACATAAAACTGAATCCTGCAAAAATTGCTAATTAGATCTTCCATCTATGCCTATTTTCATTCAACCAATACTTACTGAAGCATCTTCGCTAAGCCAGTCCTAAGTGAGGATTTTCTTTCAGTGAGGCAACTGAACAAAGTACACATCTAATACAATATTCTGTATATAACCTTTCAGTCCAACTGACAGAAGCCAATGCAGAGATCCTTTCTCTCTCCAGCCACTCCTCTCATGATTTCACGGTTGTTCCCTAATTCCACTGAGGTGTAATTAACAACAAATACTGAATACATTTACTGTGTAATGTGTGATATATTTATACATTGTATAATGATTGCTGGAAATGAACTAATTGATCTATTCTTTATCTCCATTCTTTTCTGTGTATTATGAGACTATGTTTTTGCACATTTCAAGTATAAAATAGAGGGTGTTGGCTGTAGCTGATTCAGATAGGTCTTGTTATATAGTCTTGATTTTCCTGCCTCAGTTTCTCAAGTACTGGGATTATAGGTGTGGGCCACATATCCAGTTTTATAATACATTACTATCAGTACAATTACCATTCTACTAAATCTCCTAAATTTATTTCCCATAAAAATGGATCTGTAAGCAACTCAAAAATTTTCACTCCACCGAAGGATACTGAGAAAATATCTAAAAAGGAATGATTCATTATATCTACTATTTCTAAGGAACTAAGAGCAAGGTTTTGTAGTAAGTATACAGGATATAATTTCTGATTATATCACTTACCTTAAAAAAGACAAATAAGCCAAAAGAAATGTGTGCCTGACACTCACATCTGTTTCCTTCATAAGATGGTATGACATACCATTAAAAAGGAGTAAAGCTGATTTACGAACAGTTCAAATTGTTATTCATTCATGAACTAAAAATAGAAGTCTCACTGCAAGACTAGCCAACTTAGGGGTGGGTCTGCCTCAGAAGCCTCACCTGTCGAATGATACTCTTCACACAACGTACTGGGAGACCCTGATAGTTGGACTTGATGATCCACTTGAGGAGATGGTGGCCAAGCACTTCAAAGACCATGCACACATCTGGGACATGATTAAGGATCATTTGTGGATGGATACATTTTCAGGAATGAGATACTAAAAACAGGCTAAAAGCAGCATGGTGTGTGGCACTTGAAAAACACTTACTTCTTTGTAAAATACCACATCAATACTATGAATAATACCCAAAGTAGTCACTTGCTGTCTCTCACTTAAAAACAAAGAACTGATTTTTTACTAAGTACTTACTATATCCTGTACATTATATTGAAAATCACTTTAGGAAATATATAATGACACCCACAATAGAAGCAAGAAGAGTTTGCCTCAGAGACCCATGGTAGCCAGGGCAGATTCCCAGCCCACAAAAAGCTACATTCCCAACTCCCTGCAATAATGAAAACTCAGGAATTTGGAATTCTTTAAAAATATTTAAACCATTTTTTAAAGCACTGGAAAAGGACTGGCATATAAACACCTGTTCATATTTAATACATACAACTTGATGTATTTGAAGAGCAGCATATAGCTATGAAAACATCACCAGCATCAAAGTGACTGAGGCATTCTAAAGACCTAGAGTCACAACTCACAGGTTATGTGACACTCCATGCTCAAAGGATGATCTCGGGGCTTCAGCATGGACATATGCACAGAATACTTTGGAATTTACCAACACTCTCTCTCCTCTCCACTTTTGCTCTCAACTGTAAGCTTCGTCTTGTCTTTGGATATTTTCTTTCTCTCTCGTTTGCCCTTTGGGATTATTATCCTATTATTATCATCTCCTCAAGCACACGAAGGAGAAGGGAGAAACTCCTTACCAATACCATCCGATCACTAGCACCTGGGTCTCTCAAAACCAAGAGGAGTGATTTCAACATAAAGATAAGCAAGGCATATGGAATTCTAATTAATTTTTTTAAAAAAGCTCACAACATATCATAGGTAAAATTCCAGATGTTTGGGGATTCTGGGAAGATGGCATAACAGTAAGTAGCACAGAAAATAACCTCTCTGAGAGAAACAGCCCAGATGCTGGAATATAGCATTCTGGAGAAGGCCAGAAGGAAAGAAATAGGTCCCTTTGACCCAGGAAAAAACTAAAGTGAGAATTGAAGCCCACAGAGAAAATTTTTTAAAAAAGAAAAGAAAAAATGAAAAACTTAAACAGAAGGTGGTAGCCTGAAGTGCCTTCACCGGAGTAGGTCCCACTGCATGAGAAACGCCACTGGAATCTGGAGATGCACAGTCACAGTGAAGCAGGTGGCTGGCAAGCCTGAAGGCCTTGATGTGGAGACACAGGGTTGGAGGGGAACGGCAGACAGGAGAATTACACTGGCTGGCAGTGAGTGTGGGGAACTCAGTCCTCCTATGGGAGGGGGCGATTGGCCAGGTGACATTGTGGAGTCAGGCAGGATAAGCCTGGAACCAGAACTGTAGCTGGCTTCATTCAGTCACTCCTAGTGCAGAGGAGATTGGAGAAAACTGCTTGGACTGAGTCCGGCCCCTGTGCACATCCCAATACCCAAGGCCGAGGTTTGCCTAAAGCTATCCCTAACCAACACCACCCACGCAGGACACACTATCATGGTGAAGACTCCCTTCACCAGCACAGAAGAGAGGGGCCAGCCTGTCCTGCCCTTGCTTATACTCCAGTGGACACCAGCAGATTGGGGAAAGCAACGAACAGAAATCCCTAGCCAGCATGCTTCAGGGTAATTATAACAAATACAGAAAGTGCCGGGGACCTCACTACCTCCTTGTCTAGAAGAAACCAGGAAAATAACAATAGGAAGAAGCAAAAGGCAGTCTCCAGCCTCCAACCTAAGTAGTACTGGCCCACGAGAGGTAAATACAGAACAGATCGGGAGTTGCACACCTGCAGTTTCTGAAGAAATATCATCTAAGATAAAGAAATGTCTTTGTGAAATTATAAAAGAACTTAAAACAGAAATACTAAGTAAAAGAAGATATAAGAAAAATAATAAAAGAATGCTAAGCACCTCTCAAGAAGACACAGATGGAATAATGGAGGAGCACAGAAAAAGGAGAGAAACCTTCCATGAAGAATATTAAAAAATGTGGGTCAGAAGAAGTGACGAGCACTGGAGACTGTTACACGGCCCATAATCCAGGGCTGCGGGAGAAGTGCCCTACACTGCAGCCCAGCCTGCACAACCCAGTGACTCGGTGAAGACCATTCTGTTTAGTATGGTTCTATTCTGTTGTAGTTTATCTACCTGTACTAGATTTGATGGTATGGACAGCTATTCCAAAGATAGCAGGATATACTATGGTAACCATTTAGATTTCCTATAACTTAATTTGAAGCCCTGTTTTGCTTTCATTGTCTTGTTGTGACTAATTTCATTTGAATCTGTTTTGATAGTATCGTCTGAGGATATAGACAACAATTTTGAAGATTCACTATGATACCTACTCTGATTTGACTATTATCTTTTGAAATCCTATAATGTCTCCAATGTTTCATTTTTATTGATTTTGTTATGTACTGTTTCGTTCAATTTTATTTTGCATGATGATATGGACAATTCTCTTGAAGATAACAAGAGGCATTATGGCAACCATTGTTGATCATCTTGTAATTTGTTCTTAAGTCATGAACTATGTCCATCCTTTTGTTTTGACTGACTCCATTTGGTTTCATATCATTTGGTTTTATTCTTTTCAAAATGAAAAACAAATAAAAATTAAAAAATAAAATTCTGATGTTCAACAAAAGGACTTAATCTTTTTTTGTAAAGTACTTAATCTTAGAAGCTGTCAGAGAAAAGTCATTTTATGATTAAGAAAATGAGGAAGTGTGACATCAATGTATTATTGTTAATTGATGGTTTTGATTTTTTTTCCTCCCCTAATTAGTCTTCTACAATCCACCTACTCAGGAGACTAGAGCACAAGGCTTGCAAGTGTGAAACATGTCTGGGCAACCCTACCTCAAAAAGTAAAAAGGGCAAGGAGACTGTTCAGTAGCAGAGCATTTGAGTTCATTTCTAGAAACACTAACACAAACATCCGTAATTTTTCAAAGATACACACTGACATTATTACAGGTAAAAGAAAATGACACCTGAAATTTGTTTTACAATAATTCAGTAACACAGAAAGGATAAAGAACTGTAGCCAGACCATCATCAACACTAAATTTTGGGGGCAAATTTACAGAAAATTACTGTATTATATTAGTTTTACATTATGTTTGAAACTTTCTACAATAAAAGCCTTAAGAGAAAATCAATGGAAATCTCTTCCATTTGCAAATAGTACAGGAAATAACATTACTTTTATCAGGCTTTTTGCTAGGTGGTGGAGTACTTGTCTAGCATGCACAAGTCCCTGAGTTCAATCCCCAGTGCCACCAAAAAAAAAAAAAAGCCACTACTCAGGTTTTGCAAAGTGAGTAAGTAAAGAAAAATAAATAAAACCAGGAGGCAAGTGGTGTGGCCCAGTGGAAGAGCACCTGCCTAGGATGCCTGAGGGCCTGGGTTCCAGCTCTAGCACTGCAGTGAGGGTGAACACTTGCACATGCACATGTGTGCGCCAGCAAACAACACAGGACAGGGACTTAGACTGCAGCATTCACCTAGTAGAAAGGTGATCCGCTTTTTCATTTAAAAGACTCAGTTAAAAGACTTATTTAGAAGACTCGATTATATTATTCTGGAAATAAAATGCAGAGTTATTAGGACTGGCTAGTACTAATAATACTTAAAGTACAATTTCAGGGAGTCAGCATTAACACAGTACTTTTCCTTTTATTCAGTCTACAAATACTTTAGGGTTATACATTATTTGCAGCCACACTGTCCTGGTGTACTGGTTTTAAAAAGTTTAAAGCACAGAGAAGTACTGGTATACATTTTTACCTTGGCACAAATAAACTTCATCATAAGTACTAATAACAGGTCAGTAATTAATTCAACCCCAAATTAAGCCATTCTAGTTCCCCCATTTTATAAGACTTCATAAATGATCCTAGCAAGTTTATATAGAGGGGTTACAGAAGTTTGTGTTTTAAAGTAAAAATAAAACAACAACACTAATAATTCAGCCATCAAAAAGGATACGTATTCCATTCATGCCTGAAATCTTGAAGTCATCAATGAGCTGGACCACCATGTCTTTGTTTGGGTCACTGGGGTCACTTTCACGAACCTATGAAAAGAAAGATGAATACAAGACCAGAGAAATAGCCAGCGGTTTAGGTCAGTGGCATAAGTGCCTGCCTTGCAAGCATGTGGTTGTGATAACAGCTACCAAAAAAGAAAAAGATTGGATAAATTTAAAATGCAGACTCTTCTCCATGATACCAATCCACAAAGTGGTATTTTTCAAATAAAAGATTTAACATTTGGACCCATAAAAATTTTCTATTTTATTACTACCCAAAAAGTCCCCTATAAAATCAGTCAGTTTGATTTCCTTGTATCAGTCACATTTTTTGTAATACTTACACATTTGAGCAGTTTTATTTCATCCAAGGCTGTCTCTGTGTAATGCTGGGCACTCTTCACAACTTTCATTGCAACAAATCTTTTCCCTCTTTTTTGAAAAAAAAAAAAAAAAAAGCATGGTTATTTATATCACTAGCCAAAGAAACCATGTTATAATAACATCTATGCAATCAACAGAGACTTTTAATAAACTTTCCTTTGAGCGCTTGCTTCGGCAGCCCATATACAAAAAAGTTTTCAAGTATTATTTTTTCAAATATGAGAACCACAACCAAATAGTGTGTCTAAAGGGCAAGACAACCTCCTTGTGGTTTTGATTTTATTTTCATTAAAGTAGACTAGAAATGTTTCTGAGTCACCAGAGAGAAAGGAAAGATGTTCTAACACTTGTTTTAGTTCATACATGACACAAGTACACATGCATATATACTGGGAAGCAAGTACACAAACTGGGCAGCAAGATGTTTACTGCTGTGGGTCACAGCTCTTAAATAACATCTGAAACACTTATCTGGAAAAGCTATTCATTATTGATTTTCATTTGAATGTTTTTTCTGACATGAATTACTAAAAAAGTAAGCCTTACAAAATGCCATTTCAAGGGCTAAGATTCGGAAGTCAAGCCACAAGAGAGTTCACATTTTTAAATATCTGAGCCAATGAACTTAAACCTAGAAGGGAGAAAAAAATTTAGCTGAAGCAGGCCTGTGCTAAGCAGTGCTTTACATGCCACAACAAAGCAGGAATGCTTCTCAGCTATATCGCCTTAGAAACAGATGATGAGGAACTGTGTCAGAATCGAATGCAGAAAAGACAACACGTACTGCATATCCCAGCACAGCCAGACTGTAGAGAAGTGCCCCCATCCTAGCTTTCTGATGACATGATATCGACCATTGAAGAGGTCTCCAATCTTCACTGGATGATAGCCACCTAGGAGGAGAGGGAGAGAAGTGGGGGGAGAGAAATGAGAATTCAGTATCTCAGGAAAACAGAAATGCATTTCACTGTCAATTCTTGATGTCATTTAAGAAAGCTCTAAAATAACAGAATTAAGAGTAACATGTTTAAAATATTACATTTATTCAGGCTTAACTTTCATTAGGAGAAAAATATTCTATGAATTCCCACTGGATTTTTAATAAATTTAAAATGGGCTGGGCATAGTGATGCATGCCTGTAATTCCAGTACATCCACTGGTACACGCATGACTGCATCCACTGGTACATGCATGACTGTTCCATCAGACAACTTGTACCACTGGAAATACAAATGGAGTTAATAATTTTTATTGCTGTTTTTAGTAATTAATAAAAAGTCACCCAAAGGGACAGTCATGCATGTACCAGTGGATGAAGCCACCCAACAGTGAGACATACATGTTATGGCCCCATCATGAACATGTTGAAAAGGCAACAAACCATCTAGCACTTTAAAAAAATAATCTGTGATTTCTATTTAAGATGTGTACACATATAACATGTGTACACACACAAGTATTTTTCCTTAAATGTTAAACTCAAACTTATGGGATGTTACAAGAAAATTCATCAAATTAAAGGCTGTTTATGCTACATAATTTTACATACACTAGTAGTTTATGTGCATCTGATATAAGAATTGTTTGAGACGTGTATTACGGTAGCCTCGAACTGGCCTTGTTCTCTTATCACTTCTTCCCAGAAACTCGCATTAGAAATGAGGAAACGGGTTAGGGAGCAGACACAGGTACCCTAAGGCAGATTCCCAGGAGAGCTGAGGGTGCCTGCTGACATCCGGCATAAAAAGACCTTTAATACTGCATTTTTAACTAAGCCATTTAAAAAACTGGATCATTCTCCCAAACCACAAACAATACAAGAGGTCAGGTTGTTAGCAATGGATAGACTATTATTTTTATTCTTACTATTTATATTTTATTGTAATTTATTTAAGTTTTTCCAAAACAATGCTTTTCTGCTTTGCAAACAGATTTTTCCTTTTTTTAATTTAACATGTATTACTTTTTTACGTAAAGAAGAGAGTTGCATGTATTACTCTCTCATTTGATTTATTTGTGGAGTAAGGAGTGAACCCAGGACTTTCATGGATACCAGACAGGCACTCATTGCTGACCTACATCCCTAGCCATTATTTCATTTTTCTAACCTGCAGAATTCTTATAAATCACTCAAGAAAGACAGTGATGGCTCACGTCTAGTGTTGAAAGGCTGAAAACAGGCACAGGGAGTTATCTATACTATATCTCTCATTATACTTATATAACTACTAGAGGGTTTGAGTCATACTTCTACTTACATTGTGGTGGGTTAATAAGGCAGAAATCTGACCAAATACTGAGTTTCTAAAATTTTTACTGTCCTATCATTACCACACTCTGTCTTCCTGGATTTTAATCTCAAGGTCTAACAATATTTTGAAATAGATATATTAATAATAGAAAATTAGAAATAAAATATAGAAATTAAAACTTACTACTTAACTTTAATTCTCTAAAAAATTAGAAGAAATAGGCTTTGAGTCTTTTGTACAGTATCTTGAAAATAAACACTGAAAAGGAGGAAAAGAAAGCTAGTATTTCTTAATTAGGAATTAGGAACACCATGGAACGCACTTTATCTTCAAATCTATGCTCTGTGAAACGAAAGTAAACTTTAGTGTAACTCAGGTTTTCCACAGGAAAGCAGCAGAAAAGAAAGGAGGAGGTGGGCAGGACAGAGCTAAAGCCAAGCACATTTCTTGACCGTAAACCCAACATTTTAACAGGTTATCTGAACCTAAAAAGCAAAGGGTATATGTTGCATACTCCATACACATCTGCTCAGGAAACTCCCTCTCCAGGGACCCACTTACATTTTATAAGACAAGTACTTACAAAACACTGATGGCTTCCGTATTTAATTCTTACAAAGTAAATGCATTCTTTTTACACTGCCACAGAGGCATCAAGTGCCTGGCTTCAGGGCCGGAGACTACATGTGCCTCCAAAGGCTGGGTTCTACTCACCAGTAAGAAATGTACTCCACCTTTTTAAAGAACTGAAAGCACCATTTCCTGGTGTGTAACACTGGGTGGCTTAAAAACATAAAAGCTATGTGATACTTAAGTGCATATTACTGCTAAAATTAACATCTCTAAGTTTTAAAAATTTAGTCATGCATAAAGAGAAGAAACCTGTCTCTAGCATATGTTTTGGGTTTAAAGTCTCAAATACCCCAGGGATTTAGCTCAGCAGTATAAGTGCCTGCCTGGCATTATGAGTTCAATTCCTGGGACCAAATTTTCAAATAGCCAGAATGTGTACTGGTGAGCAAAAACAAGAGCACCATCACCACTGTAATCGCAGGAGAAATATAGTAGCTGCTCTTCCTTATGAGCTTTAAAAGTTGAGTAAAAACAAATTACTAGTTGAGTCCAGTGCCTCTGGAGTGTACAGACAGTTAAAACACTGCCTAAAAATAGGCCAACTATGTAAGAGGGACACAGAAGTAATCTTTAAAAGCAGAAATCATTTAACACACTTTTAATTTTGAAAGCGACATATATATTCTATTCTAATCTAGTTCCTAGATTTCTACTGAACTTTCCCCATCCTTCCCTCCCCTCTCACAGAATGGTAACCTTGAAACTGGGGATTTCCTCTCTGCCAGCAGAGACTCATGGCCTCGCACAGCAAGCCAACACCAAGCCAACCAATACCCAGGATATGTGAGGAAGAGGGACTCCGGCAGCTCCACAGGAAACTCCTCTAACCCCGAACCCTCACCACTGTCATGGCTACTGGTGGGCATGTCCCAGCCACTCCACTGCCCAGCACACAAGGGGCTTAAACAGCAGTTACAGAAGACACAAAGACTACAATGTCTCTCAGGCCCTCGTGGTACCTCACCAACAAACAGAAAAGGAACGGAGGACACCACAAGTGCTACACGTGGCCCTGTTAACATCATGAGGAACACTACCAGAAAGGGCCATGTACTCAAGGGTCATCATAACCTAACAGATCTTGATACTGTGCATTTCGTTATTGTATTGTTTAACTTAAACTTCATATATTTATAACTTAGAAGCTTTTCTTCTTAAAAAAAACTGTTAAATTGGATTATAAATACAAGGAGAGTAAGAATACATTGTTAAGCAATCATTACTTTCATTGGTATGGTTTCTTTTATTCCTGTAATACACCTACAAACACTGTAGTTGAGCTCTAACTACACTAGTAATAAGACTTCAAAGATGACAGTTCTAAAACTTTTCTCCAAAACATAAAGACAACTTCAAGCCAGGCATGATGGTACAGAGCTGTAATCCTAGCTACTCGGGAGGCTGAGGCAGGAGGGTTACAAGTTTAACACCAGCCTGGATGACTCCACAAGACCCCAGGTTGGGAGAAAACAAAACAAAACAAAAACAGTAAAAGAACTAGGGACACACTAAAGCACTCTCTGTGTTCAATCTTAAATACAACACTAATAACAACAGATAAAGAAGATACTCTTTCCCTTGTCCAGCAAAAAAAAACTTTTCAGAAATCAAAATTTTAAAACTCCAGGTGCTGGAGATTTAGCTCAGCGGCATAAGCGCCTGCCTCGCAAGCAGGCAGTCGTGAGTTCGATCCCGGTACCGATAAAAAAGAAAAAGACAAAAAAAAAAAAAAAAAATTTAAAACTCCACAATAAGCAATAGGCAAGATTTTCAGCAAATTCTATTTACTTTAAGCTTTCCAAGGGTGAGGAAAGATTTCAAAATCATTCCTAACAGACTGCTTAAAAAGGAAATGATAGTTAAAAAGTTTGTTCACAGTAAAATAGCAGAGACATATTTTGTCTCTTGAAGATTTCAATACCCTCTCCCTATAAAATTGAAACCCACTTAAAATGCAGAAGACTCAAACATATTAACAACCAATGACTAATGGACATTTACAAGCTAAGTCTTTTCAAGTGCACACTACTTATTTACCAAAACAGACTATACACTGACCTATATATAAAACAGATCTCAATAGAAAAAAGGATTCAAGCCACCCCATGTTCTCAGAACACGTGTAATTAAATTTGAGACCTATAAAGACAAAATATATTGTCTTGGAAACTAAGGAAACATACAATAGTCTAGGGACCAAAGAAGATAGAAAATATTTTTCACAAGATGAACACTAACATAAAACATATCAATCTGGAAGACACTGTTAAAACAGTAGGGAGAGGGAAACCTGAAGCATTCAATATGTTTCTATTTGAAGATATCTAATCAGTTTCCACTACAAGAAACTAGAAAAAGAAAAGCAAATGTAACTCAAAATAAACAAAACAAAGCATTAATGACAAAAGCATGATTCAGTTAAATAAAAAGCATAAAAACAATTGAGAGAAATCAGTGAATGGGGAAGATGGTTCTTTTTTGTTTTGCTTTTCTGAGAGAGGGTCTTTGCTCTGTAGTTCAGGCTCACCTGGATCTTGCTATGTAGCTCAGGCTGGCCTTGAACTTGCAGTAATCCTAACCCGGCACCATGCATAGGCTGACTGGGGGACAGCAAGACGCCAGCCCCTTCCAGCACACAGGCACGGAGACAAGAACTGCCAATCCCTCTACCCCAAGTGACTGGCTGATCTAGAGAAACACAGGCTGTGATGAAGCTAATTAGGAGGAGAATTCTGAAGAATGAAAAAGATCAGAATGTAGAGTGATATGCCAACAAGCAGTCTAAAGAAGAGGGAGGGGCCGGGGATTTAGCTCAGCGGCTCAAGCACTTGCCTAGTAAGTCTCAGGTGGTAAGTTGGATCCCTGGTACAAACAAAAAAAAAGAAGTATTAAGAATTAATCTGGAGGGGCTGGAGGTTAGCTCAGCGGCATAAGCAAGCAGGCAGTCATGAGTTCAATCCCCGGTACCGAATAAAAGGAAAAAGACAAGGAAAAAAAAAAAGAATTA